TTATGAGTACGATCCGGTGTATGATTATAGCAAGCACACCAGCGTGAGTATCGGTAAAATGGATGAGGTCTGTCAGTTCTGTCGGGCATTCAAATTTAGGAATGAGAGTCCTGGAATGTGTTGTGCGGGGGAAAGGTCGTTTCGCACGAGGTGCATTCACCGCCGGAACCTTTAGCATCGTTAATGCTCGGCCAGACGAGTCAGGCGAATCTTTTTCTTCGAAGCATTCGTAAGTACAACTCATGTTTTCAAATGACATCTTTCGGCGCCACGGAGATTATACGAGACAATTTTATGCCTACCTTCAAAGTATCAGGACAAATCTACCATCGGGTTGGATCGCTTTTACCATTGCCGGAGGCGGATCATCAATTCCTCCAAATCTATTTCATGGGGAATTTCGACGAGCAAGTTGACCAGCGGTGTCGATTTCATTCAGGTGTCAACAGAGACATCGTTGCAGCTTTGCAAGCTTTCTTGCATCAACATAACGAGTTGGTTCGGTTGTTCACGACTGCTTTGGAGCGTATGCCCGAAGACGATTACGTGGTTGTTATCAGAGCTGACAAAACACCGACTGGAGAAAACAAGCATCGCTTCAACGCGCCCTCAATCAATGAGGTTGCAATCGTGATAGTCGGAGAAGAATTCAATTCGCGAGACATCATTCTCCATCGTAGAAACGGCGATCTCCAGAGATGGCTGAAACTCATCGGTCTTACGACGCATTACAATATCACTGATGTTTTGGAGTGGAGACGATGGTTACCATTTCAATATTAGAATGAGGAATGTGCGAACGGGCCAAGAGATGGCAAAAAGGTCAGCTCGATGAATTATTATTCTTATCGTCTGATGATCCGAGAGAACCATGATAATCATATACTGAGATGCCGAGAATTATTCCATCAGTATATAGTTGACATGTATGCGAAAATCGAGAGTGAACGTCTTTTGTTCATCCGGCTGAATCAGACCAAATTGCGATCGGAAGAATATATTCATTTACGAGATGACAATAGCCACAGACGGGAATGTGAATCCGAATCATGTGGGAAACTCTGTTATCCTCCCGGCAACTTTCACTGGAAGTCCACGTCATATGCATGAGTATGCTCAAGATGCGATGACGTATGTTCGGGTCTACGGCCGTCCGGATTTATTCATCACGATCACATGCAACCCGGCTTGGGATGAAATTAAAGACAATTTGTTTCCTGGTCAGGCGGCTTCGCACCGTCATGACATCATCGCGCGTGTTTTCAAGCGAAAATTGAAAGCAATGATGGACTTCATTGTCAAGCACCATGTTTTCGGAGAGCCGCGGTGTTGGATGTACTCCATCGAATGGCAAAAGAGAGGATTACCGCATGCGCATGTTTTGGTTTGGTTGATCCGCAAGATAACCCCAGACAATATAGATGCTGTCATCTCAGCGGAAATACCAGATAAAGATTCAGATCCAGGATTATTCGAGGTCGTCACCAAAAACATGATCCATGGTCCTTGCGGTGCGATCAACAACAAATCTCCGTGTTTGAAAGACGGAATTTGTACGAAGAGATACCCTCGGAATCTTCATGCGGAGACCATAACTGGTAATGATGGATATCCTCAGTATCGACGACGATCAATCGAAGACGGAGGGAGAACAACAACACTCAGGGTTCGCAACCATGATGTTGAAATCGACAATCGTTGGGTCGTACCGTATTCCCCGCTACTTTCCAAAACATTCAAAGCTCACATTAATGTCGAATACTGTAATTCGGTCAAATCTATCAAATATATTTGCAAGTATGTAACCAAGGGGAGTGATATGGCGGTCTTCGGAGTGGGGAACGCATCAGCACCGATCGACGAGATAAAAGATACCAAATGGGGAGGTATATTAGCAGCAATGAGCGGTATGGCGTATACTGTCCTTTTCGATACACGAACGATACCCTACGGTAGTTCACTTGGCTGTGCATCTCGAAAATGGACAACGAGTTTACTTCACTGCCGAAAATATGCAATCGAAGGCGTCGTCACCACCAAAAACGACTTTAACAGCTTTTTTCTCATTGTGCGCGAAAGATTCGTTCGCGAGATCGCTCCTCTACGCCGAAGTGCCCAAGTACTACACATGGAATGTTTCTACGAAAGCATTTAGCCGTCGAAAACAAGGCAAGCCGGTTGAGGGACATCCGAGTATGTTTTCGACCGATGCATTAGGTCGAATCTACACGGTTCATCCTAACAATCAAGAATGTTTTTATTTGCGCTTACTGCTGGTACACGTGAGAGGACCGCAATCTTTCCAAGACCTGAGAACGGTGAACGGCGAAGTCCACGAGACCTATCGAGAAGCTTGCTTTGCCTTGAATCTTCTAGAAGATGATATGCACTGGGGGAAAGCACTCAACGATGCTTCGAGTACTGCTATGCCTAAACAGATACGCATTCTGTTTGCAATAATTCTAACAACATGTTCCCCTTCGAATCCACAAGATCTTTGGAATGAATTCAAAGATCATATGAGCGAGGATATTCTCCATCGATACCGAACAGTGAGTCAGGACTACCACCTTCAATTCACATCATCAATCTATAATGAAGCTTTGATTGATATCGAAACTATATGTTTGACCATTGCTAACAAGAGATTGAATCAATTGGGTATGACCGCACCCGATAGAGCAGCGGAAACAATCTTCGATCGCGATCTCGCGCGCGAAACGATTTATGATACTAACAGCTTGAAGTCTTTCGTGACTCACAATCTTCCAAAGTTGACCTCAGAGCAACGTCAAGCATACGATACTATTTTACAAGCAATCGCGGAAGGCAAAGGTGGGTTCTATTTCTTGGATGCACCCGGAGGGACCGGAAAAACCTTCCTGATATCATTGTTACTGGCGTCAATACGATCAAGAAACAAAATAGGTCTCGCAATGGCCTCATCTGGAATCGCAGCAACACTCCTGGAGGGCGGTCGAACAGCCCATTCGGCGCTGAAATTGCCATTGAATTTACATATCAACGAGACTCCAACGTGTAAAATTTCAAAGAGGTCAGGGATGGGGAAGATCCTCGAATCCTGCGATCTTATTATTTGGGACGAGTGCACTATGGCGCACAAAAGAGCCTTAGAAGCGTTACACCGTTTATTGACAGACCTGAGAGGCAACGAGAGTCTGTTCGGTGGAGCTTTGATCCTTCTATCAGGCGATTTCCGGCAAACTTTGCCAGTTATTCCACGTTCCACACCCGCAGACGAATTGAATGCATGTTTGAAAATGTCACCTCTTTGGCAACATGTAAAAAAACTATCGCTGAGAATTAACATGCGTGTTCTAATCCAGAATGATTCATCTGCAGAAGTCTTCGCTAACCAGTTGTTGGACATAGGCAATGGAACGATTGACGCTGACGACTCTTCTGAATGCATTTCACTGCCAAAGAACTTCTGCACGATGACATCTTCCAAGGAGGATTTGATTCAAAAAATCTTTCCCGAGATTTCCTCAAATTATGGGAATCACGAGTGGCTAAGTACACGAGCGATATTAGCCCCAACGAACTCTGATGTGAATGACATTAACTCATCCATCTTAAATGAGGTGACAGGCGATGAGAAGATCTATAAATCGATTGACACTGTGATCGATCAAGAAGAAGTTGTGAACTATCCGATAGAGTTCCTGAATTCATTGAACGTACCTGGTCTACCACCACATGAATTGACATTGAAACTGGGAGTTCCGATTATTCTTCTCCGGAACATAAACCCACCCAGATTGTGTAATGGGACAAGGCTCGCAGTGAAAAGATTAGCTGACAACATCATTGAAGCTACAATACTGAGCGGAAAATTCAAGGGAGAAGACGTTCTTCTACCACGTATCCCAATGATACCTACGGATATGCCTTTCGAATTCAAACGTTTGCAATTTCCGGTAAGACTTGCTTTCGCGATGACGATAAATAAGAGCCAAGGGCAAACTTTAGAAGTATGTGGTTTAGATCTGACGAATCCATGTTTTTCTCATGGACAACTCTACGTTGCATGCTCACGGGTCGGAAACCCCTCTAACTTATATGTTTACGCGCCAGATGGAAAAACGAGGAACATTGTGTATCCGCAAGCCTTGAAATAATCAGATGCACTATCGAATATATTCCAATCGAGCCAGTTGATATTGATATCACTTATATAATAGAAACAAAATTGAATGGGGAAAGGTGAGGTGATAATATTGTCCATTCGGAGCTACGTCTAAAGAGAGTTTTTGATTCCGAAGATTCGAGGATGATTCCATATCCGGGGAAGCATCAATTGAGCAAAAAGAGGTACCTTTCCTGAAAGAGAGCAGTAGCTCTGATGCGAAAGTTGATCATGCGATCAATACGAAATAAATCGGATATAGATTTTCGAATTCAAGAAACCATGTCATCTTTCTCTAATCTCGAAACCCACTAGGCATCAGAACCCCAAATCGTCATCATATCTGGCCAGCATGGAAACCAGAGCTGTGCGTCAAGAATTAGTTTTGGTACTCGAGCCCGTTCTCACGGGGATACGATCGAAACGCATGGGGAACTTGGAAGATAATATCATCCGTAACAGTGTTTCCCAACTCTTCGGTTCCGCGAAAAGATTTCTGGGGTTCCGTGAGACGTATTCTGGGGTTCCGCGAGACGAAATCTGGATTTTTCATATCCACATGTGTGATCGTGCATGAAAAATACCAATTCGTTCTTGCGGAGTATCTGTATCTAACACGACCATCATCCTGAATCTGAGAAAAATCGGATTCATTCTTGCATACCGATCACAAGAGATGTGGAAAAGCTAAAATTAGACGAGACATAAGAGCGAACCTCGTGGAATACGAAATACGCTTCTGTACGCGTATTCTGTCTACAGAGACGTCCTGAGACACAGACGAAAAGTATAAAAAGCCGCGAGATTTGTTTCGATTCACCAAGACAACGATATCCAGCATTCACGAATCATGGCCGATGCCACGAATGCGAGGAACGTCCCGGGTCCATCTGGATTTTCTAACAAGAAGCGCAAATCCAACACGACAAGCCCCGATTGCGATGTCTCCATGGTCAAAAAAACAAGGTTTCTAAAAGATGTGGTCTTGACGAGATATGGTGGAGTTTTGGAGGGCAGAGTGACCTCGAAAACACCCATAAAGGAATGGTCCAAAAACGGAAAAGAAGGAAAACTATTCTCTTTCCTCATGGCCGACGAGACAGCCCGAATTAGTGTCATCGTGTCAGGCGACAAGACAGATGAAGTATTTTCGACAATCCAGGTCAACCACTGTTATAGAATCACGGGGTTTAAACCAAAGCCAGTCAATCCTCACTTCAGTTCCACGGATCATGAATGTGAAGTGACGCTCTCGAAGGTAAAAACAAAGCCGCCGGTCTCGCTCAATCACATACTTCCATTCTTACGCATAATCACTTTTTCTAGATCTCGAAAATCAAAGAAATCGAGAGGGACGACATCCCACAAACTCAATCCCTCTGTTCCTCGATTGCGAGCATTCTCAATATCGAGAAAAATTGCCTCATAGACTTGACGGCAATTCTATTTGATCTACTCCCGGTTCAGAACATAACATGTCGCGATGGCTCCATTCAGAAAAAGCAAACGGCGTTGTTGGTTGACGACTCGAAGAAAATTGTCTCGCTCGATCTCTGGAACAAGCACGTGGAAAAATTAACAGACATGGAGGGCT